GCAATACAACCTCTCTTTAGTTATTTTATAGTGATATTCTATATATGAATAACCTCCATGTAGTCATAAAAAAATTATGGTCCCAATTTGGACTAGTTATAAATAAGAATAAATTTTACATTGTAATAAGTTATAGTTTGTTTAGGTCCCGTTTTAAGGAACTTGTCTCAACATAGTAATAATTGTATGTATATTATAAAAAAAAATATTATTTTACATTAAATGTTTAAGATGAAATAAAATATTTATCTAAAGTTGTTTGAAACAATGATTTATGTTTTAATATTGTTATCATATCTTTTATCTTGTGGGTACGAAATAAGTCGCCAACATGAACATCTTCTTGTTGAAACCAAAGTATTCTAGCTCTCAAGCATGTTTGGAGTTTCTTGGCATGAAACTCTTGGTATTTCTGTACTATATTCATCCTCATGATTATCTCATTTCTCTTCTTGTCTAATTCTAGTAATGATTTCTTCTTCAGTTAAAACATACACAATTTGTTGCTCATTTGGATGATTAAGGAAGATATAATATCCATTTGATTAATGTAGCAAAGTTGTCGAATATGATCACTCAATTTTGTAATGACTCTTTAATATATATTTCCATACTATCTTAATGTTACTAAAATAATGAATTGAAATCCTAATACTACTAAAACATGAATTATAAAATAAGAAATAAAAAAAAACAATTTTTTAATCAAAACAATAATTATTGTAACTACACATCAATTAAATTATAACCTCCTCATAGCAATAAATTTAGTTGGTCCCAACATTATGACTATAGAGAGGTTTTACTGTATATTAATATTTAAAAAGAAGGGCAATTTTGTAATCTATATAACATATCCACCCAACCAAACATATTATTCACCAATTTATTCGAACAAACCGAACACACTTTCTAAATATTCTCAGTAATCTTCAATGTGATATTTCTTTCCGTTAATATAATATCCCTCTATAATAAAACATTATATGATCCAAACGTTCCCAAAGGGTTAAAAATATACTTAGGGGGGTTTAGAGTCCTAGGCGGCTAAAGGTTAAGTCCAACTCATGTAGACCCGGTAGAACAGGTCCATACCCATAAATGAATCAGTACCCGTCAAAATAATATAAGATACAGATCCACCATTTTTATTTTACCCGTACTTGGCCTGGTCCTTTTTTGCATGTGAGTCGAGTTATTTGTGGGGAGTAATGCTACATTTACACCACTCATTACACTATTTTCATTACACCATGACCATTTTACTAATAATTATTTTATTATAATATTAAAAATTTGAAATAATTAAAAATTTGTGTGGATATGACATATTTCACATCATGGTGTAATGAATTGTGTAAATGTAGCATTACTCGTTTTGTGGGTACCCATGAAAAAAGAAAAAAAAAAAAAAAAACTAAATGCTTAAAAGGTAAAAGCCTAAATCGTAATTTCGTAAATGGTAAATCCCTAATCCCTAATTCTCTTCTCATCTATTTCGGTCATTAAATACTTCCATTCCTAAAATCATAAATCGAAATTCCATTCATAAGTTTCTTTAATCTCAATATTTAGAAGTTCTTTGATTTGCTTTTTCATTAATATACCACACATAACACAACCAATTGTAAGTTTCTTTATACTTAATTACTATTCTAGGGTTTTTCGGTAGCTGGGAGTTTCGAACTGTGGATTATAGATTTATTGCTCTTAACAGGATTATATTGTATTGGATGGATTTACATATCAATTTAGAATTGAAGTGTTGTGTTATGCATATCAAGTGTTTGATAAATTGCACTGGTGGTATTGCATAACATTAGAATTTTGATTTTTTAATGCAGAATTGCCGATTTTTAAAATTGGGAATGATACTCTATGCTTTTGGGCAATTGAATCCGAATTTTAATTTAGTGATTTAGAATAAGAACCTGGTACTTAATCTCCCATAGTCTAAAGTAAGAATATTTAATTTCTTGCCACTTGCCACTAACAATATCTCCATATTGCATCTTTCTTAATTCGTTTTCAAATGGGGTGACACATGACTCACCTTTTTTCAAAAACAAAAACAAAAACAATAAAAACACTTCATATACTTTGACATCTAAATATTATCAAATAGACATTATGGATATATACATAACATAAATATGTGTTATTATTTTGTTTCATATTTCAACATAAATATGTAAGTTGGTTACCTCATTATTTTGTTTCATGCTATGTTCAAGCCGATATATATATATATATATATATATATATATATTATATATAATGTTGGTAAAAAAGATGAAATTCTATTATTGATTAGTTATTATTATATAGTTTTAATTACTTATTATTACATAATAAATTATTACTATTATTATATAAGTTGATTGTGGGGTGGTTGTAAGTTGTACTGTAAAAAATGAAAACTACAGAAATTTTAGGGTGTAACTATACAAAATGAAAATTAAAGCGAACAGTACGAATAGAGTATGGATCCAATATTTTGGGCCCTTTTAAAACTGACCCATTTTAGGCTTGTACCCGTTGAGACCGCACGGTAACCATTCGGTCGGCTCGTGCCCACCTGGCCGGCCCGTTTTGCTAGGTCTAACCCAATGATTGTTTCTCCTCTGCAAGCCCAAAAATCATCTTGATGTATGAACCAAAATCTAGATCCTGGTTTGATGGATTTTACGTTAAAATTTCAAACATCTTTTATTAATAAACCAAGATACAATAAGATTGTCAAAGTGTTACATTAACATACATCTCAAATTACTTCTGTTTATTGAAACCATCCCACCATATATTCTCCCAATTCTCCACTTTTATTATTGCATTTAAATTTTCTTCCATAAGAAGCCCAAGTCTCTAACCCATTGGCGATGCAAGCCATAGTCTCTGAACATATTTTCCATGGCTCCATTAGATACCATCGGAGTGAACTTCATAAGCTTAACATACTTATTTAACAAATGAAACATGTAAATCCATTTTAAGTTCTTCTCAAATGAAAATTGTAAATCTGGGTGGTGACAAGTTCGAAGAGGCTCCTACAGTTGTCTGAGATCTCTCCATAAAACTCTCTACCGTGTTTGGCATTTCCTGAGGCGGCTTTGAGTTCCATGAATGCCAAAACATGCCATTTCATTGAAGGTAAGCATTGGGACCATACAGCTGCTTCCATGTGTTGTGTCTTCTTGTATAAGCTTCGTTGATTTTTCTAGCTTCATTAAAGGCAAAAATATATCCCCATATAACAAGAACAAAATTTGGACAAGTTTAGTAACAATTAATAAAATAATAATGAGGGCTGCAACACAGTCTACATAACAACTAATACATACATGATAGTATTTTATTGTCTAATTGTTGATTGATGGTCTCTTGTAACGTGTAATTTTATACTAACACATGATCTTTATAATATTAGACTGGAATATTTGACTCAATATAAATTATTAATTTTTTTTCCTCCATATAAGCTCTTGATTTGGTGTGAACATGCCATCAGAATATAATAGGTTAAAAGTTCATAAATTATTGGGTCCGTATATAAATATAACTCAACGAACTCAGAAAAAGACACGACTAATTCTTTATTGCTAGAGTGCTAATTGCATCATATTTATTCTAAACAATTATTATAGCCTCAAGTTTATTGTTTGAGAGGGTATACAAATAATTATCCAAAAAAAAAAACCAATAGTCGTCGGTTGGACTGTATAAAAGGCTACATGAAAAACTTCCCAAATTCCTTTTCAAGTGTTAAAAGGTTAAAATTATTAAATTATAATTAGATAGCTTTTGGACCAAATGAAATGGCATTCAATTAGAAGAGAAAACAACTTTTTCCCCCCCAAGGTTTGCCTTAATGACACTTTCCTACCCAAAAAGTTATAAAATACTACTTTTCCACCCACAGTTTGTATTCTGTTACTATCTAAAGCCGATTTCGGAGGCAAAAATTCTCTCTATCACCACCATTTGAACCTCTGGTCTCCTCTCTACAAAATTCATTTCACTCAGGCACCTGATTTCTCGTCGATTGCCAGCCACTGTAAAGCTAGAGTTAGAGATGGGCATTTGGGATCGGGTCTAAAAACCTGCTCAAAAACTTGGTCCTAGTAAGCCTAGTCTCAAAATCGAACCAGGCCTAAGGAGGAGGGCTTGGTCCCTCCACTGGCCCCTCCTCTAAGGCCCGGGCCCAAACCCTTTTGGTTTATTTTTTTAGTCCCTTAGATAATTACTAAAACCTCTTATAAATTTTGAAATAGATAGAAATTATAGGGGTTAAAATTTTTTTTATAAAATTTAAAAAGTTTGCATTTAATAACCGTTGGCTGTTGCCCCCGAAAATTACTAATCTACCCTAAAAATTACATAAACCCCCCTACAAAATTTCGTTTCACCCTTAAAATATAAAAAAAGATAGGGGGAAAAATGAATTTTTGCAGGCCTAGTCCTAGGGACTGATCTGGGTCCTGAAATTACTCATGGGCCTAGGATCGATCCCAGACCTAAATGAGTTTCTTGTTCTTAGTTGATTTTCGGTTGATTCCGATAACGAATATTCAATCGTTACCACCATTTGATCCATCGGCCTCCACTCTACAAAACCCCTCTTATCCTAACTCTTGACAAATCGCCGAATCTCAGCTGAGAAAGTTAAGTGTATTTTTAGTATTAACAGAATATAGACTTTGGGTGGAAAAGTGATAATTTGAAATTTTTTGGATGGGAAAGTGTCATTAAGGCAAACCTTTGGTGGGAAAAAGTCGTTTACTCTAATTAGAATTGCATTGAAAAACTTGAAGTTATCATTTATGTATCTCATGAAATCACACACACACACACACACACACACACACCACATATATATATAATATATATAATTATATATATATATATATTACCGTCGTCAACGTCACATTTCATCTATAAACCTCACATGATGTCGAGCCTTTGAAAGTAGTGATTAAATTAACAACGTTGACTATCAGTACTTCCACTATATATGTATAATTAGCTTCCTCTTGTTCTCAACCACCCCTGCTTTCATTAACTCCTATCTAGTCATTGAATTCCAATTTCATCGATCAGAAATGGCACAGGTAACAAAACCCATGACTCTCTATTCCTAAATGTAAATTTTTTTACGAATACTTTTGTTGTTATATATGTATACATAAATAGACTCTTTTGTTTTCCTACTTAATTTGTATCAATGTTTTTGCAGAAGGTGGTGTTGAAGATAATGACAATGAATGATACGAAGACAAAGCAGAAGGCAATAGAAGCTGTTGCTGATATTTATGGTAGTTAACACAAAATATGGCTTCCTTACTTACCTGCTTAATTAATTTTTTGTTTTAGGCAAAAAGTGCTTTGAATTATACGGGACAAATTTATCAGTACTGATACACTGAAACAAAAGGATTGTTTTTATTATTTTTTTTGACTTATTAATACTGTTACTGGGTTCCTGATCATAACATGTATAACAGGAGTAGATTCAATTGCAGCTGATTTAAAGGAGCATAAGCTGACTGTTATTGGAGATATGGACGCAGTTGCTATAGCTAAAAGACTCAAGAAAATAGGAAAAATTGAAATTATATCAGTTGGCCCCGCTAAAGAAGAAAAGAAAGAGGAAAAGAAAGAGGAGAAAAAAGAGGAGAAGAAAGGATAGAAGTACAATATTATGTTTTTCAGATATAATTTTTGAAAACTTTAAGATAAACTCTAAGCATGTATTATTATGTTTTGGGTTTTCGGTAAATTGGTCAAGATGTAATATAATAGAATACCCTTTGCAAAAAAAACAAAAAAAGGCAATATATATATATATATATAATGTTAACATTAGGTGTGTGACCATTGATTTTGGGATGAAATTTTATATTTCTCTCACTAATTAATAGGCTAATAATAACAGTGTAAGATGTTACATACGTTTCTCCTAGCTATTGCTTAATGCTTATATACTGAAACTTTCCCAGTATTTATCTTCCCAATTCTGCACTTGCCTCATTGCATCAAACTTTCTCTTACTGAAAGAATCAAGAACTTTGGTGTCATAAGAAGGCATGGTGCATGGATTTGTATTGGAAGGACCCTTGACCAACGTTTCCATCATGAACTTTTTCTGCAACCCATTTGCCGGACAAGCCATAGTCTGTGAGCATACCTTCACAGCTCTGCTAGGTACCAACGGTTTGAACTTCAAAAGCTTTGCATACTCATTTAGCAAATGAAACATGTAATCATATATATAATCCATTTTCAGTTCTTCTTGAATAAAGTTGCTAGCTGCTTTTCCAATTTCTTGTGCCTGCCGAATCCATATAGCATTACAAACATATAATTTAACTAAATTGGCATTAGAGAAGGTAATTAAGTTAACTTTTGTTTATAAAAATTACCCCAATCTACAGCAGACTTGATGGATTTGCACTTGTTGTCTTCCCTTATTGGCCAGTAGTGTTTCATAGGTTGTAGATATCTCGTGAAGAAATCATGGTATTTGGAATTTACAAACAGTGTCTTAGAGTCACAAGCTAGAATGTATTTCTCACTAACGGACCATGCATTTCCTTCTATGTAGATTTTGTACCTATGTAAGTAGGTAAAAATAAATAATGAAAGAAAAATCCCACGTCCACAAATAAAATATTCAAATCAAATTAAGGAAAAGTCATTCTGAAAACAGATTTACCTGTGTGTGCATTGGCTTGCTAGGTCTGATTGCTTAAAGCCTTGACGAAACTCCTGGCTCCAATTCTACAAATATATACAAGTAAATACCAAAAAAATTTAATCACTACTTGGTCAAATGTAACGATTGTTTACAGCACAAGAGGCCATTTTAAAACAAAACTAATAAGAAATACTAGAAGATTACCTGGTTATAAATTCGCGCATTCCGGTTCAGTTGATCGGAGACATTGCATGCGAGAAGCTCAATTCTAGATATGGTGTCAACGAAAGCGTTTCCTTTCCACTAAACATATTGTTCCCTATCAATCCATTTTGTCCTATTGTTGCCTTCTGTTATGCCTGTAAATATAGGGCTGACACAAGCTCAACCAATATAAAAAGTCAGAGCTTAGATAGGCCCGCAACCAGTTAGAAGTAGCCACGTCGCGTGGTGACAGGAGCAGCACACTCTTGTCAGTAAAGTGGGTGCGTGCCAGACCTGCCAGAAGCTGTAGTGATTCCACGTGTCCAATCCCTGCACCAAATCGCGTAAATCACTCTAGAAGGTGGGCAATGTGACATAAAGAAGGATTTGCATGGATAATCCTACCAACTTACAGATTTAGTAATGATAGCCTTATTCCATCCCGCTATAAATTGAGAGCTCTTCTCTCATTTGCGGGATTGGCTACTCTCTCTGCAAAAATATATAGCATTCTCTCTCTTGTACAATCATTTGTAAGTCAGTCTGCTAACGCGACTTGGCCTCATCATTAATACAAAAATCAGTGGATGTAGGATTCGCTTCCTTAGCATCCGAACCACTTTAAATGCTATTTTCATTGCATTTACTCTTATTTTCACATTCACGTGTGTCTTCTGGACCTGCTTAGCATTTCACACATGCGTTTGGTTGGAGTCAAAATCATGCATCAACAATTTGATGCTAGAGGAAAGGCCTAATTTAGTATTTGTCCTTCATCAGGAGAATTTCTAACAAATTGGTCCTACAACAGCAAATGGCCAGCCAACCTGAGCCTGAGCGAACCAACCAGGGTGCTGAGGGGATACCCTAAGTCCAGGAGGACACCTCTTCCGAGATACCTTTGGTTCCGCAAAATGTCACGGGGGATATCCTATCAAGTTCACAACTTGACCCTACCATTATGAGCTACCTGGAAAGGTTCAACAATACCCTTCAAACGGTCAACCGAAGGTTGGACCGTTCGGACCAAGGCGTGCCACCCAAATCAGCTGGGGTGGTGCAATCACCAAAAACGCCTGCAGGTCGCGTGAAAGCGCGGCAAAGGGAGATAGCCCGTGCTGCGAGCACTGCAGCGTGTTGAAGAAAGGGTAAACAAGTGGTAAAAAATGGGCCTAAGGGCTCCAAAGGGCTGGCAAACACCGATCACGTCCCGAATAGAATACTAGTGGCATTAAGACTCGGTGAAAAGACGCATCCCGAGCCGTCCCATGCCATGTCGCATATACACCCCCATAAAAGTGCTGGGCGGGGCGATTCTTATCACCGCTAGCAAAACAATCTTGATCGTCATCGTGTGGGAGGTTCCCACACTTCGCGGGGTGGTTCGTACCACCGCGAAGGTCGTGAAAATTCTCCACACCATTTGTCACCATCACATGGCTCTAGCTAGTGTGTGTCGAGAGCGGCCGGAACTGCCGGCCGAGGCAAAGAGGAATCCGACCTTCGGACTTTCCTCAATCGCAATCGCGAAGGTCGAACTCGCATGGACGAAAGCAATCCCCAAATGGCTCCACTGCCTCAGATTGAAGAGCTGCAACGAGCTCTAGACCGACTAAGAGCCCAGCAAAATGAGCAAGGGCAGGTCACATCTGTGTCCCCCTTCTCTCCAGAAGTGCTAGCCGCCCTGCTCCCATCAAGATTTAGAATGCCCGACATGCAGGTGTTTGATGGAAATTCTGATCCACAGGATCATTTATATGAATTCAATGACCTGATGGAGCTTCACCAGGTCTCAGATCTAGCAAAGTGCCGTTATTTGGCAGTAACCCTAACCTCTCATGCCAAACGGTGGTTCAGGTCGCTCACAACGGGATCGATTAGCTCGTGGCCTCAGATGAGCGCGACGTTCCTAAGGCACTTCCAAGCGAACCGAAAGTTCTTAATGCCTTTGAGCTACCTCAATAATATAAGGCAAGAAAGGGATGAATCCCTCCGGTCTTACATCGACCGATTTCACAGAGAACTTAATAAAGTGGTTCATACTCTCGAAGAGTCTGTTCGGACTCTCATCATAGTAGGAGTTCGTCCACAGATCGACTTGTGTAAAGAGTTACAGGCTAAGGATGATGTTTCCCTCACCCGCTTCTATAACATCGTGGAGAAGTACCTTCGAATTGAAAATTTGGTGGTGGCGCTCCACCGCCGCGACCCCGACACTTCAGGCAATGCATCTGGTTAGGGGGAAAGTAGGAAAGTTGATCGCAGATGGGTTACTGACGATCAACGAAAAGGAAAGAAACCGCTCTATGAGCCTAAAAAGTCTTATGCTTCTGTTCCTCGTCGCGATCGCGACAGAAATCAGTATACACCTTTGAATGCATCGGTATCGGCTATTCTTGATAAATCAAAAGAAGCCAGCCTGCTCGGAGAGCCTGAGCCCATGAAAAATCCCCCGTTAGCTAGAAATAGTAAAAAGTACTATTGTTTTCATCAGGATAATGTGCATCACACCGATGAGTGTCGAGCTCTCAAATAGGCAATCGAAGACCTCATCAAGAAAGGGCATTTCAAAGAATATATTAATGATTCCACTCCTGCGCAAGAGAACAATCAAGGGAAACCGGGAAAGAAGCGACATGATCGCAAAGGCATATGCAGCGTCAATATGATCTTTGGGGGACCGTACCTTACGAGTCACAAGAAACTCGTGAGCTGCCTAGGAAAGATATGCTCGCGCAGCCCATCACAATCTGATTAGTGTGATGAGCACGACGCAACGACCGCAAAAGGTTCGTAAGGAGGAGGAAATTACCTTCTCCGAAAAGGATGCAGCTCATTTGTATCATCCCCACGATGATGCTCTTATGATCACGCCCCTCATAGGGCACCATAACGTCCACAGAATGTTGGTGGATAACAGAAGTGTTGTGAACATCCTGTTCCAGACAGCTTTCGAAAGAATGAACTTGGACGAGGCTGACCTGAAGCCCGCCTCGATCCCTTTATATTGTTTTACAGGGGACCACTTGATCCCCAAAGGAATGATCTTGCTTCTAGTCACGCTGGGGGACTTTGACGAAGTGACGAAGGTAACTGACTTCTTGGTAGTGGATTGCCCGTCCGCTTTTAATCGTATCCTAGGGTGATCTCTGCTGAGAAACTTCAAGGCAGTCACTTCGATATACCATCTGAAGATGAAGTTCCCCACCCTGACGGGGATAGGGGAAGTTAGCGGGTCTCAGTGTGTAGCTCACGACTGTTATGTTAAAGCAGTACAGATGGCGTGCAAAGGGAAAGGTATCCATCGCGGCATTCCCTGAGAAGCAATGGCGATTAGCCAGATCGAACCACGGCCTAGCCCAGCCCAGCCCAGCCGAGGATAATATGGATCCTCGTATTCAGGAATGCCCTTCTAGTGGGCTAGTTGAGAATCTAACTGAAGTATCAGTCGACCAGAGCGAGCCGAGCAAAGTGTTAAGGATTGAGAGCAATCTCAACCCCCAGCTTGCTACCGAGCTGACTAGTTTCCTCAGAGAAAACATCGATATGTTTGCATGGTCGCACGCAGATATGGTCGGGATCAGCCTGGATATTATTCGTCATGCATTAAACATTGACAGTGAAGCCAAGCTGGTTCACCAAAAAAGAAGAGCGATGGATCCAGAGCGATATGCCGGCTTAAAGATAGAGGTGGATAACCTCTTTTGAAACGGATCCATCCGAGAAGCACTCTATCTGACCTAGGTTGCTAACCCGATCCTAGTAAAGAAGCCTAATGACAAATGGCGAACTTGCATCGACTTCACCGACCTCAATAAAGCATGCCCAAAAGATAGCTTTTCCCTACCCAGAATCGACCAGCTCGTGGATACCATCTCGGGGCACGAGCTGCTGAGTTTCATGGACG